AAAAGTTTGGCCAGGCCGCTCTTGCTATAGTGGGCTGCAGTACTCCTCGGGAGAAACCGGCTGCACCCTTTCTGCATACCATTGCCTTTAAAAAAAGGGAAGGTGTGAAAAGGGGAAAATAGCCTCAGACTCTCCCACCCATCACCTTGGCTTGAGAACTGCAGGGCTTACCTGGTCGCAAGAAACCTGCACAGTTTCGGCCCAACCCCTGGGACACAGACCCCCCCCCCACTTGGTGACCATTGGGCCATATATGGCAATATGCAAGCGCGGGAAAGCGATGTGCAGATTTGGGGATAAATACCTATGGCACAGTTCGCTCGAGGAGGTCTTCGCAACACACGTACCACAGTGCATGTGCCTTCCCGTATTCTTCAAAACGCTGCAGGCCTGATCAACCGACCAGCCACCTCCCCCGACTCTCGGGCGTAACCAAGGTCTTCGTAACCGAACCGATATCTTTGAAATGTTCCGTGTGCTGTGTAAGTTGGTATGTACGATTTGATTTTTCTTGTTGTATAAGCTTAGTGTTGTAGTTGTTTTGGATAGTACATAGAGTTTGTAGTTATCACTGTTATTTAATTAGTGTAGCTTGGATATTTTTAGAATAGAGACTATTCCCCTCGCCATTCCCATCCTTATATCTCTGACACGTTTAACTAGAAATCATAGAATAAATATAATAAATACTGTAAATTCATTATTAACATGGTCTATTAAAATCTCAGAATAAATACTATAAATTCATCACTGTTATAAATAAATATTTTTTATTTGAAAAAACGTCCACCTGGTTCTGTCCTTCCCCCCCCTTGGGTATGCATCATCGGACCTGTGATTCTCGCGACAGTGACCTCACTTATCCCACCTTTCCTTTTCCCACTTTTTTGGAGCATAGGATGGTGATGGAAGCTGACAGCAGCCTCAAAAGCAAAACAGGTCCCTCCCCCAACCTGGAGGTTTCCTGTATCTTGCTCTGAAGCAGCTGCTAGAGGCTGCTTCAGGAAGCATAACTACATGGACCGCTGGTTTCATTCAGTATGACTGTTTCTAAGAACCCATTCACCCACAGAAAAATGTAACTATCCTGGAAGAACAGGAGCATGGGAGTGGGACAGGACTGGGGCGGGAGAGCCACACACTGGGGGTGGGGAGGGGTGACTAGAACATGGTGGGGGAGACAGAGCTGTGCTCAGGGCAGGACAAGGGAGCTGCCAGTACCTCTCTTCCCCAGAGTGTTCCACTGTCCCTCCAGGTTCCAGCAGCAGCTGCTGCTCTTCCCACCCCACCAGTGGCACTGGCTCATTACTGTGGGTATCTGGACATCTGGGGTATGTCTGCCCAGCAGTGTTATTTCGGAATAATGTCAAACCATTATTTCAAAATAACGCCAAACTGGAGGACTTCTTACTCTGACTCCCATCACTCTCATTTCACTAGGAGTAAGGGCAGTCGAAGGAAGAGTGTTCTTCCTTCAACTTCCTGCTGTGTAGACAGCGCCAAAAGCCGAATTAAGAAGAACGCGGCTTTTCTTTCGACGGCGGTAAACCTCAATTTATGAGGAAGAACGCCTTCTTTCGAAAGTGCTTCTTTCGAAAGAAGGCGTTCTTGAATGTAAATAGGGCTTCTTCGAAAAAGAGCATCCAGACTCACTGGGTGCTTTCTTTCGAAAAAGCGGCTTGCTCTTTCGAAAGTTCCGCGTGCAGTCTAGACATAGCCTAGGAGCAAGGGCAGTCGAAGGAAGAGTGTTCTTCCTTCAACTTCCTGCTGTGTAGACAGCGCCAAAAGCCGAATTAAGTTATTTCGATTTATACTACACAATTGACATAACTCAATTTGCGTAACTTATTTCAAGTTTAGCCCTGTTGTCTAGACACAGCCAAACTGTGCTGGGAGGAATAAGGAACTAAGTTTGCAGGAAGTGGCAGAAACCAAGAAACATTGCTACCAAGGCTGTAAATTGCAGCTGAGTCACATCTCATATCATGCTCAGAGTGTAAGTAAATGTTTGCTATTCTGATATTCAGTATTGTCCACATTGATAACTCTCATGCAGGACTGATGTCCCTTCAGCCTAGTATCAGCATTATTTGAATTCAAACCCCTCTCTTACAGCTCCTTCCTTGGGCACAAAATGTTTGATAATCACTTGTGTAAAATAGCAGGACTGAAGGGAATTTTCCTTTTATCACAGAGCAGATTTATTACCAATGGATGAATACATATAGCTTGTTTTTGATGTTATAGACATGTGTCCTGATTAGGTAAGTTATATAAAGAACACAGTATTACTATTACTGTAATTTGTCTGCCAAGTTGCTATCACAGAGGAAATGCTCAGAGTGCCAATGTTTCAGTCACGTGGTAGTTCTAGGGAGATTTTAATTGTTAAATATTTAGAATGGGATAGAATTCTTGCAAAACACACGGGTAATCGGGCTATTGTAGAAGTATCAATTTACAGTTGATATGTGACTGTGTCCATATGGCATCTTCACCCATAACAGATCTGCCTCTGAACCCTGCTAATTTCATGATGTGAAGCCAGCACAGCTGTGTCAGTGAAAGTTCAACAGGTTTTTTTTTAATGAGTTCCTGTCAGCTACACCCTTGCTATTCCATTGATAGCAATGAGGTAGCTCATGTTTCAGTGACAACATAATTTCCAGACAATGGGACAGCTGAGATTTAAGTAAAAGCAATACTATATAACTTTTCATATATTATTGTTGATGAATGTATGAGTTGAGAAAAATCCACTTTGACTCTGAGTCCTGATGGAGTTTGCAGGGATGGTGATTAGAAAATATATTTGAAGGATGGTCAGTGGACATACTAAAAGTCTCTTTGGAAAATGGGAGGTAGGTATCTAGGAACCTATGTGAACTGTTACATTCACTGTAAATGTAAAAATACCTTTGACTGAGGCTCCGGGATGGAGTGTGCATACCCTGCACTAGGCGGAAGGGTTAATCCTGCTCCTCAGACAATGCTGGGCATGCTCTAAATGCTACGCTAGTACAAGAGAGAACAGCCCTGCTTAGTCTCAGCTGACTACCAAGGAGGAAGGACACTTAACAGCTCCTGAACTGGAGCCTCCATTATGGCCCTTGCCTGTGAGAGCTGGAGGTGCCAAGACCAGTTGCCATTGGAGACCCAGAGTGTTACCTCTACCAAAGAGCCCAGAAACCCTAATGCCCTGTGGACTGCAGCTTTAGCAAACCCCTTAGGAAGTGACCCAGGGATGGTGTGTGAGTGGTATCTCCCACCTGTGTAAGGTCAGCATGTTGCAGTTGGATTCCAGTGGCAGACCACTATGTTACTGTTAGGTCCCTGTGAAGGAACCAGGGCCAGCTCGAGCCATTCCTGCGCCCCGGGTAGCAGGTGCGCAACGCATGCACGGCTCTGCCCTCAGGCGCACGGCGCATGCGCAGCCCTGCCTCCGGCACACTGCGCACCTTACAGCTGCAATCACGCATGTGGTGCCAGATTGCAGCTCTAAGGGGTGCCGCATAACCCCTGGCCCTGGATGCGTGGCGCCTGATTGCAGCTCTAAGGGGCGTCATGTGGCTGAGTGCATGGAGCCCCTTACAGCTGCCATCAGGCACCCCCCATAGGTTGGCACCCTGGGCATCTGCCTGGCTCGCCCCCCCCCCCCTCACTTAATCTGGCCCTCGCTGGAACCAATGTTCCTGCTAATTTTTTCCATCCATGTGCAGATTTTTCCACCCAGGTGCAGAATACATTTTTATGTGTGCCGGGGCATGTTCAAATGCACACCAACAGGAGCAACAAAAAACATATCTGTGGGCACTGTGCTAATCAAGTGGGCAGCATTTAAATCCTTCCTGAGTGGCTGCACAAGCTCCCAGCTTACAGGGAACACTGGTCGGAATCCAGTGGAGCTGGGTGAGCCTGGGTCCCTTTATTCCAACCACCAACACACCCAGTGGCAGATCCCATGTCTGCCTACTAGGCCATAGTGCCTTGTACACGAGGGCACCAACATTGACTCTGGCCACTGAAGCACGCTACCCTGCAGTCAAGGGGTGCTGTTTTGACTCTGACCCTTGAATCTCATCATGGTGAGGCCCAAGGAAGTCTGGTAGACTGTAACAGTGGTATACCCCACACTCCTCATCCCCAGCCCCACCACAGAGCCCACACCCTCAGCCGGAGCCCTCACACTCCACATATCACAACTCCCTGCCCTGCCTTCATCCCCATCCCACCCTCTGAATGTCTTGGTCCCAGCCTGGCACACCATCCTGCACCCCTAACTCCTCATCTCTAGCCCCGCCCTAGAGCCCACATCTGTAGCTGGAGCCCTTGCCTCCTTCCACATCCCAACCTCCTGCCCCAGCCTGGTGCCCCCTCCCACACCCTGAACTCCTTATTTTTGGCCCCATACAAGAATCTGTGCCCACAGCCAAAGTCCTCACCCCGCTCCCAAGCTCATGAGCATGCATGGCCTGCCCTATAATTTCCATACAGAGATGTGGCCCTCAGGCCAAAAAGTTTGCCCGTTCCTGTTCTAGATTCTTTCAGGGGGAAAGCAAAGGTCTCTGTAATGCAGCTGGTTTTTTTTCTGATTTTGACACCAAAGTTTCTTATCACTAGTCTTAGAGCAAGTAGATCAGATCAGGGTTTCTCAAATTTATAATTCATAGAAACAAATAAACAGTAGGCAATTCTCTTGTACTATTTTTACATGGAATATTTTTTATTTTCTTCTGATGAGTTGGAAAATTTAGTCACGTGTGATAAGCATTAGTTCTAAAATATTTTGTTAATGGTTATAATAGTTGTATTAGTTATATTTTGCTGGACATGCTTAGCTCTTAATTATAGAGTCACTGTGAATTTCAAAGGAGAGTGTTACATGCTGTGTCACATGGAAGATATATTAAGTCAATAAAGTCTGAGTAGCAAGAATGACCTATGAACTATTTTATTTTGCGTTGTCATGCTGAATTTGCATTCTTTTCCCCTCCCTCCGTTATGCCTGCTGCCTCTAACTTGGCTGCTATTCCTTGTATACACCCTTGAATAAGCATATAAATTGAAACTTCATGCCGCTGTTTTCTTTCTGATTGTATCACAGGCTCATACAGCAGTGCTGCAAAGTTTCAGCCTTCAGCAAAGACTCAAGGAAACCTGCAAGAGATGGAACTTGACAAAGACCTTTGTATTAAGATGAACGATGGGAATAAAATTCCTGCAGTGGGATTTGGAACCTATTCCCCTGATGAAGTAAGTAAAGTTTTCTTAGATTTCTTTGTCCTTAACCTGTTTAACGCTGCTGGGCACCGGTATAACCATAGGCTCTATCACTCCCAAAAGGGCTGCAAAATGAGATCCTGGCATATCTAATTTATAAAATTGACAACAGTGCTTTGGGGTCTAGAATGAAGTTGACATTAGTATAAAAACATAAGATGAGCATCATTCTATATGAAAATGTAGGAATATCATCATTTCTTATTATTTAAAAGTGAATATGGTATTGATGCATGATTCTGTGACCCAGAGCTGCCAAAATGCCTCATCTACAACACACCCAGCCACCTTGAACCCCCACTAGCTTCTGTCAATTCACCTCTATGCTGACCTCCAAAACCCAGTTCTTCTTGTTCAGAGTCATCATGTAACTGCCTGTGCACCTTAGACCTGACCCACAGGACTCCTGTTATCAGTTTTCCGCCCATGTGCCACTGCCAATTCATTTTGGTCTCCACCTGAGCTAAATGAAAACCAATTTCCTTTAAAGAGAAGTTACTGTTAGCCCTTGTAGTGCTTCTCATTGAATTACACTAAGGAAAGGGAAATCTGTGATCTCCCATTTCAGCAGTCCTGCTACCTGCTGACCCCATTGTGGAAGATACTAGTCTAGTGGTCGTAGCAGGGGACCTGGAGTCAGAAAATTTGGTTCTGTTCCTGAGTCACTGCGCTGTTGAACATCTTCCCTGACTCTTTGTGGTTTAGTTTCTCCAGTTTTATAAAATGATAATCCCTGAACTACTTTGCTGTGTCAGTTCATAAGGGTAAAATTTTCAAAAGCACCCAAGGGACTTAAAAGCCTGCATCTTGTTGAAAGTCTTTTGAAAATGGAGCTGCTTTGGAAAAATTTACTCAAAGAGTTTATATATTCATAGTGGGGTTCTCACATGAAATGTGCTAAAAAGGGCAAGTGATTAAATTCTAAAGTCCTTGCTAAGTTTTCACTCCTTATTCCTGTCCAAGACTCAGGGGCTATGTCTACATTGGCAAGATTTTGCGCAAAAGCAGCTGCTTTTGTGCAAAAATTTGCTACCTGTCTATACTGGCTGCGAGTTCTTTCTCAAGAACACTGACATTCTAATGTAAGAAATTAGTGCTTCTTGCATAAGAACTCTGATGTCCCCGCTCAGGAATAAGCCCTCTTGTGCAAGTGTTCTTGCACAAGAGGCCAGTGTAGACAGGCAACATGAATTTCTTGCGCAAGAAAGCCCGTTGGTTAAAATGGCTATCGGAGCTTTCTTGCGCAAGAAAGTGTCTACACTGGCACGGATGCTTTTGCACAAAAGCACATCTCTGGCGCAAAAGCACATTCCAGTGTAGACGCTCTCTTGCGCAAATACTCTAACGCAAAAACTCTTGCGTTAAAGAGTATTTGCGCAAAATCTTGCCAATGTATATGTAGCCAGGGAGAATTTAGACTGACTAAATTCTGTTGTCAAAGGTCTCCAAGGGAAAGCTCTTTGTGTCTGTAACTTTAAAAACCATGAGTAGTCCTGTGGCACATTAGAGACTAACACTTCTTCAAGTGAGCTTGGGTGACACCTGTGTGTGGATCTTTTCCCTCACACTTGATAGATATAAGACTTGTTTTAGGGCATGCCCTGTTCCTGGAACCCTTACCGAGTCTGGATCAGCACACAAGTGATTGAGCAGGATGTGATCAGGACTGGGGATGTACTCCAGTGGGACCCAGAACTCTTCTTTCAGCAGTGTTTTTGTTTGGAATATGAAGCATGCCAGAATCTGGTTATTATACTTTAACTCTCTGTTATTCACCAAAATTAAGCATATATATGCAAGTGAGTTTGACCCTGTCTTGTCTGTAACTAGAATAGGTAGAGAGGGACACATTCAGACCTGCTATAAATTAGTGTAAGTATGCATGCAACTGCACCAGTAAATTTGAAGTGGGCAAGTTAGAAGCTTTGGAGTTTTATTTGATGTATTTTGTTTTGTATGACCTCATTAGTTGGGCTTAGTCTTGTCAGCAGTCGTTCAGCTCCACTTCCTCTTTAAAATTCAAAGATATAGGGAGGGGAGAAAAGGCCAACGTTTTTGACAATTTCTACAGCAAGTAACAGTTTGCACAAGAGCCAAGGCTTGAGAACTATGCAGCTGAAAGAATGTAGGGAAGTTCAGAAATGCCTTTCCAGTGGGAACTATTTTAGAAATTAACACCAAGTACAGACATTTCATGGAAAACTCAGCAATTCAGCTCTTTAGGGTTTGCCAGGTGTCCAGTATTGGCCCTCACAGTCTGGTATTTGCAGCTCCTGTCTGGGGGAAAAAACCCCAGAAAATACCAGACATGTAAAATGTCCATTATTTTTCTTGGACGGAAGGTCGCTTGGGACATTCTTCCACTGCCGCATCTGGTGTGGGAGGAGGAGGGTGGGAATTTAAAGGTGCTGTGACTCTATTTTTGTGTGGGTTTTTTTTCCCTCTATCAATTTTTTCCCTGCCATGTTTGGTATATTTTGTGCAACTATCTGGTAACCCTAGCTCTCTTTAGTGAGTGCTTCTATTCTTTGCACGGTATGAGCTGAACTAATATTATCTTGCCTCCTCCTTCCTGAAAAAAAAACACCTCCTAAAATACAACTTTCCATCACACTGCAATCTGTGTCTACTGCATCCATTTGCTAAGGTCTGTTTCTGAGTTACACTAAGGCTCCTTAGCACGACCCCTATACAGTAGGTGCAATTTAAAGTCATTGCAGAGTAGTGTGATGAGAAACAGGCTCACTTGTATTTAAAGGGACTGATTCTCCTGTTATCCTTGGTTTTGCACAATGGTAACTTCTTTGAATTGAATGAGAGCAGATATAGGCTCACAGGCTAGATTCTCTTTCAAAAAATGTTCTCACAGTATCACAAATTACTAGCTGAAGTGAAGAATTTTTTTTAAAGGGGCAAATAGAAAATCACATCCTTTCTAACTCTACTGATTAAAGCACTGGCTCTCTTAGCCCTTCTCTGATGCTTTCCAACAAGTTCCAATGCCTCTCCCTTAAGTCTTCCTTATCATAATTTTTTAATCACACTTTCCCAAAACATTTTCCTTTAGGAGCATGGCCATTTTCAGCTGTTGTTCAATCATTAATCTTCAAAGAGGCAATAAGTAACTATCTGGAAGAAAGCTAAGTTGTTATCAATACTCAACAGGGGGTTCGTCAAATCACAGTTCTCACCAAAATGTTCTAATAGCTACCTTTGTTACAACTACTGATGAAAGGGATGTAATCCTGCCAAACCCAAGCATTCGAAGTCCCAGTTTAGTTTTGACAAAATCCTGAGTGTGGCTTACATCTCAACAACTAGATGGGAGCTGGTAATTCATAATGTATGTTGATCTCTGGTTCTTACAAAAAAAAAACCTTTAAACATCGAACAGTCCTGCAGAACCTTAGAAACTAACAAAACCATGAATTTTTTTTGGTCTTTGAATTGATTGTCCTTTGAATCTCATAAAAAGAAAGCTGAAACAATGGGTCTGCTTCTCTGTTGCCTGCAGTTTAAGGAGGTAGTTACTTCTGTGCACAGTGGGAGCAAAATAACCCTGCTATATTTGAACAGTAGTTTTTATGCTCATGTTCTGTTTACTTTGCTGTGGTGTCAATGATGACCAAGATGCTGAGCAACAGAGGATCAGGCCCAGAATCCTTGAATTTCCTTTAAGGTAAAGTCTAAGATTATAAATGTGAAGATATCTAAAAACTCCATTTTTGGAGTCTTGTTCATGGACAACAAAGCTCTAGCCGACTCTCATAAAATATCCCTAACCCACTTGACACTACATCTTCTTAACTGATAGGTTCAAAAAAGTAAATGTAAGGAGGCAACAAAAGTGGCTATAGAAGTTGGCTTCCGCCACATTGATGGAGCTTTTATCTACGGGGTTGAGGAAGAGGTTGGGCAAGCCATTCGCGAAAAGATTGCTGATGGAACAGTCAAAAGAGAGGACATCTTTTACACAGGAAAGGTAAGAGGGGTTTCTTAACATTTTTTTTTATCGTATTGCTTCCTGAGCTAATTGTCTGTGAAGAATGTTGTGACCTACTTGAGATCAATATTAAAAAATACCTTTAAAGAAGTAGTATTCACAGACTTGGGAAATTGTGTTCTATAAATTACAGGTTTGAGCACAAGGCTCATGCTTACATGTGTAAAAGCAAAGCTAAAATCACTCTTCAGTCTACGCTAGCTCCTAGAAAAGTCACATAAACACAGTGACTCTTAATAACAACTGTAACCAGAAAGATATTCACCCTAAGAGAAGCCTCCTGTAGGATTCCTGTACAGACAAAGTGCTTTTGACATCTTAGCTACATTTCCACCCTTATCCTACTTCAGGAAATGTTCACTTCTCACTCTGATGGGCATCCTTGCACATAACCATCTTATAGCACGACCCTTTTGTGAAAAAGGCAAAGCCAGTGGTATGCCATGACTAAGCTATACAGTATTAGAAAAGTGGCTCTTACAGAAAACAGAGAAAGAGAGAGAACTTCTATAGAAAGAACAGTTGTTTTTTAATCATTACAGCTTTGGAGTACCTTTCACCGGCCTGAACTAGTCCGAAGCTGCCTGGAACAATCACTGAAGAAACTTCAGTTTGAATACGTTGATCTTTTCATTATCCACAACCCCATGTCTCTCAAGGTAAATATTTCTTTAACAAAGATATAGAGGAAAATGTTTTTGGTAGTAGGTCCACAGCCCATAATAAAATCTAACCTTCCCCTCTCACCTCCCCTCTGTTCTAAAATCTGATTTGTCAATTTTATGTGTGTTCACTTTTTTTTTATTGTATCACTTTGGTATATATGGTTGTGTCAATTTTCTTCCACAATTTGATCTGAGGAAGTGGGTCTGGCCCACGAAAACTCATCGCCTAATAAACCATCTTGTTAGTCTTTAAAGTGCTGCATAGTCCTGTCTTTAGTTTCAGCTGCACCAGCCTAACACAGCTACATCTCTATTACTATTCCACAGCCCATAGTACAGCTGTTCTGTAAAAGATCAGCATTCCATTTAGTTCAGGTGTGAACAAAAACTGGCCCACAAGCTGGATCCAGCCCACCAGGGTTAGTCCCAGACAGACTCCCAACACTATATTTACCTGCACAGCCACAGATACAGTTGATCACATCCCCT